CACGAATGTGACAAAATCCTAATCTCCAATCCTCCTCCGGATAATCCCCATTCATCTGGGTCCATATCTACCATATGACGTGAAACAAAAACCAAAGAAAGGGAAGGGAAGACGAGACAATGTGTCGACATTTCGTTTATAACAAAAGGTCCAGAGGAAATCGAATCATGTAACGCCAAATCGCTATGCATCAAAACCTAGGCAAAAATCATAGTGTAGATGAGACTTGCTAGTCCGCTCAAAAGATTGGTTGTATAACTGAAAGTAAACGAGAGCGTGTCGGTGGAAACTCATTTACTATCCGCCACTATTGAAGGTATGAGCGAAATTCTTGAAATAGGCATTAAAAATACATACCAACTTTAGTTGCAATATCCGAAGCAGGAATAGGGTCTTCATGCTTTGCAACACTACCCTTACCACGCCAAGTACTGACAGCAGGGATCTGTGCATCGTAACGTACTTCTTGTGTACCATACGCACGCGGGGTGAGCTTAATGAGGGTGTGAAGAGGTACAGCCATCCATGGTGATTCATCTTGAGGTTTCTTCATGAAATAAGCGTAGATACAACTACACATAGTTAGTAGATTATGAGCAATCAGAAGAATGAAGCCTACCGAAGAACAGCCTGATGAGTAACAATCAAAATATCCTCTGATCGCTCCAATTCCATGATAATGGGTTCGAGACGAATAACAACATCGCGGTAAGACTCTCCTCCACGATATCTGTAGTTGTATTTATCCTCGTCACGGGCCTCGAAATCATCTGGATATCGCTCTTTGATATCTTGATAAGTAAGTCCATCACAAACACCAGAGTTGAGCTCGTCGAGTGCTTTCCATTGAAGCTGATTATACTCATTAGGTAGGTGACGAGCAGTGGCGATAGTGCGACGAAGAGTTGAAGTCCAGACAGTTAACGGGCGATTGTCCTATTTTAAATTAGCCATGGGAATCGACTGGAAGTCCATGGGAAAGTACATACTCCTACTGATTCGAGGACCAATGATGGCAATTTCTTGGCGTACATCTCTCCACGAGGGGATAACTCGGCATCACCACCAATCTTTCCTTCGAGGTTGTACATAGACTCCCCATGCTATATATTATTAGCAAAATGAGATTTCATAGGGACCAATGGTTTCTTACTCGTGACAGCCAAATAGATCTCGGCTTAATGTGTAAATTCATCAAGTAATAAACCACGCGACTTTGAAGATAGTCTTGAATTCGATTGATGATGACTTGTTTTCCAACATTCATGATCTTCAGATAAGTAAGATCACTCTCTTCGTCGTCAATTGTCTCGTAAACCTTTTCGTAGTTCTTGATCCTATTCCTAAAGTCTTGAGCTGCCTTTTCCGGGTCTGAGCCGGCGTAGTCTGGGGATGTCGTCTTGACTTCTAGAATGTTTGACATGATCAAATCTTCATCGTCGCATTTCGATTCGACAAAAAGGGTCTCGATTCCTTCAGCATCGCAACGGTCTTTGATCCATCTTCGGCGCTCTTTTGTACTATTCGTAGCATCGAGAATGGCAACAATTCCTTGTTTGTTCTTGAACCAATCGATCATATCATTGACGGCAGCTTCAGCGGCAGCTCTACGCATCCGTTCCCCCTCTGTATTGGTTGTATCGAAGAAATCGGCAGTCGGATTTGGGGTGGCATTTCGACGATAGTTACCGACGTTGAAAACTTGAGCATCGATGGATAACCACTTGAGGTAACGTTGAGCTGTAAAGTATGCGATGTTAGCATTTGTGCATTCCTACATCGATTGAAATTTGTACATACCTTTTTGAGCAATGAGAGATTTTCCTCTTGCAGGAAGACCGACCATTACCACGCAGATTTGTGTATCCTCAACCTGTACACCGAGGCCATTAGACTTTGTCTTGAATCGCGTCATGGTTGCTGTAAAGAATCTGCAGATTTGAAGATCAAAATTCCAAAGAAGAAGAGAAAGAGGAAGTCGAATAAAGGTTTAAATGGCAAATTATTGGAAAGAGAGAAAAAGATGATCGCGTGAGGATGTCAACGGCGGTCTCTTTAGTTTATTAAGGTAGGTAAGGAACGGGTGAGTTCGGAGGGATAGGCTATTTTTGCACAGGGAGAAGCAGAATTAGATTTCCCCGAATGGTGCCTTTGAAATGTCTTTTATGTTCTTGGGGGAAAAAAAAGAATTCAAAGCCCAAGTGAATTAAGAAATAAGCCGACGGGATGAAGGGAAGGATGTGAGGTATTTGTGCATCTATCGAGAGAGGTTTGAATTTTGTGGAGTGTAGAGTGTAGAGTGTAGAGTGTACGATAGAAAAAGGAATTTATGATTTCATCCTATCCCATCCTATCCCATCCTATCCTATCCTATCCTATCCTATCCTATCCTATCCTACGAGTACCCTATGACAGGATAATTATCCTTCTAGAAAGAAAGAAGGAAATGAAGAATCAGGGGAGGAAGGAGCCCCTGTAGACTGTAGGCTGTACGCTGTACGCTGTAGGGTACCGAAAGTAATGCTTGAGTGTGCTTGGGCCCTGTGAAATTCGAAAACATCGGAAATCCCCTCCAGAATCCCTGTTTTCCGATAAATTCCACTTCTAATCACCACAGCTGAACCTGGTCTGGTCTGGTCTGGTCTGGTCTGCGGTGCGATGTGTAATGTATGAGAAATTGCATCCTATGACGACGTTCTAAGGGGGAAGGTCAACTTTTGCATCCACTGGGAATCCGGATGGACAAGAAGAGTACTACTGTAGGTATGTATTTGATCCTTTCTACGATTTGAAGATGCTGCAAAAGGAAGGTACGTACTAGGTAGGCTCGAGGTACCTAGGTATACTGTGTAGGTACCGAGTAGGCAATCTCGCAATGAACGAGGTAACCTCAGAATAATTCAACCCCGCACAAGGCTGAGAGATGCAGAGGCTTGTTTCTACCCCTCGATCGGTTGGACATACAAGAGAATGGATTACGAGCAAAGTAACATACAATGTTGACCTCGAGAATTGGCTATTAAGAGGCTCATCTACCATTCTTCGCAATATCAACACATTCTTCCGTCTCAAAGAAGAAGAAGAAGAAGAAGAAAACTTCAAAAATAGCTTCAAAGCGGTTGGGTAAAGGGGAAAAAAGGAGAATCATCATATTTGGGTCGAAACCACATTGTGGATTTGCTTCCCACTATTCCACCAGAGATCCTCTTTTTTCTTCGGGACTTAATGCGCCACCCAGCATCTTCTTATTACGACCAAGACCAACGACATCAATTCATCACAACTACCACGCCAGAATTAGGTACTGGTCATGTCATGTACGGTGGAATGAATGATTAATACAAGGACATCTAGAACCTCTTCCCAAAACGTTGGGTTCATCGGAAAAAGGCCTTGCTAGCTTTTCTCCAGCCACCCCATCCCACAGAGTCAGATTGATGAGCGTTTAAAGTTCGCAAAAACATACTTTCAATGGTCTTCGCGATTGACGGTTTGTCTGTCTTACTCGTCCTGTCTTCTCATTGGCACATAGTTGTGTCAATCGTGTCAAGCTTCCCCGAGCCCCCAGGTGCACTCGTATAGGAGCCAGGAAAATTCTTTACCAATAGGTCGAGAAAATTCTTTTCCTGCAAGTTACTTCAAATGCAGCAACTCGCCTGGTTCATTTGTTGGCTTCTTCTCACCGCTGATCTTGCCACTTCAAACCTAGACTCCCAAAACTAGACTCTGCATCACGTGGATGAGATCTAAGTCTAAGATCTGTCTGGTTGCATAATTACACCATCTTTCTTTGCGTTCACCATCTTATCATCGGAATGGGGAGATGAAGTCAAAACTTTGACCATGATGGATTACTTCGAATCGTCAAGAATTGGATCATTGTGAATGAGATCTTGAAATAGAAAGTTCTGAAAGAATTATTTCACATACCTCGTTTCCCGCAGAATACATTTCCCCTTTCCTTCTCAATGGACCTCCGGCTGTAACTCCGTACATATTTGCTTGATTAGATAAGGATGCGTTGGTTCTGTGGAATAGGATTAGGACGATCAATGATCAATAAACCAGAGTAGAGTTGTAGGTGGGAATCGGAACTCGAAGAAACAGTTTATCACACTGTTGGAAAATAAGAGGAAGTGATGTTTGAATAATGGTGTTGGAAGTCTTGTTGATGTGATGGACTGTATTACTTTCTCTTGTTCCACCGCCAAACAAGCAAAGAGCAGTCATTATCTGCTTTGTTATTTATTCCCTTGCTTCCAAGGTTATCCCTTATCGTAAGATTGATAAGACTTTGCATGCTCGGGAGCTGTATTGAGGTACATAAAGCGGCGTACTATCTTGACAAATCAGGAGGTGAGATTAAACTTGTCGCAGTATTGTTCATTATAATCTGCTACCACTCAAGTATATGATTCTAATTTACTGCTGTATCCTTCAGTCTCTGATTCACCAAGAAGAAGATTGACTTCACAAGCAAGAAGAATAACAATGCTAACAAGGGCAACAAGGGCAGTAGAAAGTGTCTACCTACAAACGATCATTCAGCAAAAGCAATTCCATACACCATCTCAAGACCATTAGATAATTGGCTAGCAGTTGGTCCGTGCTCTACATAATCTACTCCTCAATTCAACTTCCATTTCCTACCCAGCATCACCTCACTCATCCACACACATAATCATTCTACCATTGACGACTTGGTTGTATTTTCTACTTTGATATGACTTAATGATATCCGACAAGAGTAGGGAATCATGCAATCTATAATCATCATCACGCAAGTCGAAGATCAAGCAGGAACATGGTGCCCGAAAAACTGAGCAATAATCTGAAGAACTTTAAGTGAAGCTCTCAAGCTAATAACAGAGAGTTCCTATATTTATGTGATCCTGATTATTTTCAAGCTAGATTTATACCGGACCGCTTGCGATATGTTGATAAGGTGTTATGTATGGCTGTTGGTTTGAAGAGACACGCCGCTCTGACACCAACAGCGCATGTTCCTAGAATTCGCCAGTACGACCTCTACTTGCAAATTAAGAGTCTTTTCCAAGAAAGAGAAATACTACTACATATTCTTCCTCGGCACAGCAGCTTCTGCTCGTGGGCAAGGCCTCTGTTCTAAAATGGTGAAGCATGATCAGTCTATTGCGGCGAAAGAAGGCCTTCCTATTTGGTTGGAGGCTGCCACGGAGTATGCCTTCAAGGTGTATTTGGAGTTGAGATTTGTGCTTATTGAGGAGATGAAGTTTGGTTGAGAAGGTCAATGAGGATGGAGAGATGTGTGCTAGGGGCAAGGGTGTGAAGATTCGGGGGATGATTTGGAGGCCAGAGGTGGGTGGTGGTGGAGTGGGATAAGTGGGTATTGATGTTGATAGTGTCGACTTTGTTCTGAGTCTTGGGACGGGTTGTTTAATGGGACGTGCAGATTCTCTAACATTATTAATCTAGGCAATTCTCCAAGTTATATTAGGAATCTATCTTAATAATCTCTTAAGCTAAACCGCAAATTTTCGGAAATAGCTCTGCAGTTATCGGCCTGTGTCTCCATGAGGAAGATCCGCTCTGACAATACTGGCTGATACAGTGCTATTACTACCGAAAATCCCCGCACCCGAAATATACAAACTATTTCGATCACGATCTGTCCTCCCAAATGCCACTGCCGTATCCTGAGACAGAAAAGTCGAATTGGCTATGATTCTAGCGGTTTTCCCTGGAATATCTACCTCAGCTAGTGTATTCTGTCCATTCAATGCGATCCATACTCGCTTCCCATCCTTCGACAAGACAAAATCGTCGCCAAATATTTTGTCGACAAGGACTTCCGCAGGTCCAGTTGCAACTCCCGTCGTGAGTGAGATTGGAATCTTCGCAAAGAGTCCCTGGTTAAGGCTGGTATAGTACAAATCTGATCCATGAACATGGATCCCGTCCACAGAAATCGGCGGAAACCCAGGAGGTACAAACCCAGTAGGCAGATTGGCCATCGTTGGATCTCGAATAACGATCTCATATGCTGCTGTATTGACATCAAGCTTTATGACTGTTCCAGCAGCAGAGTCCGCGATGAGAAGATTCGAAGTGTCATTGAGACCCATCCGACACATGCCATTGAGCATTTGTGCATCAAGAATCGTGGCAACCAGCGAAACATGGGCGGGTTGAGCGACAGCTCCCCTTGCTAAGGTGCGAGGTTGGCGCATATCAACTTTCCAAACGGAATTCGCCCCCGGAGCAGTGGCATTTCCAGTAATATTGGATGACGCAACGACATAGAAGACATCGTGTTCCAATTCGGCGATACCACCAAGACCAATGGCGTTAGGAATTTGGGCAACTTGAATGGGTGCTTTTGCTTTGTGTGGTGATACTTGGAATAGCGAAGTCGTCTTTGTCGATGTTACGAGTATCTCGCCATTGTGTCGTACAGCGAGGTTTTCGGCATTGGCCACATTGGGAATTTGTACGATCTCTCGAAGGACGACACCTCCAGAGACTGTTTGTCCGACTGGTGGGCTGGGTAATGCAAAGGAGCATTGAAGGAGCAGCACTACTCCTACGACGCTAAGAACTGGGTAATTGGAGAACATATTACACATGTTAAAAGATGGAATAGTTGAGGAACTGACGTGTTGCTGTGACGTGATGTTGAGAGAATGGGTCTATGGAAGAGCGGAGCACTTGGCGACTTTATCTAGAGCACTTGGCGCCTTTATCTATAGATACCCCGAACCTTAGAGCCGTTGATTTCTCCCTTAACATTGTCAGAACTTGGCTCAATAATACTCAAAACTTATGCCATGAAGCAAGTCTCAAGAGACCAGCAAGCCAGCAATATGCGGGGCGGACACCGGCGCTCACTCAAACTCCATTCTTCGACGAATTTTGCATCGAGGGGGCATGTATTGGCTTTCAGCTACTTCGTACGGGGTAAAATAAGTCCGGATTTATTTTCTCTCTACAATATACTTCCCACATAATGCCTCATCCAGGAAGAACGGAAGATTACTTTTTAGTCATCAACGGCCGGAATTGCACATGGTAAACGATATTAAATCAAATCCAAATCCAAATCCAAAATTACCAGCTCGTAAATGTTTTCGTTACAAATGAACTTTCGTCCTGGCTGGCTCTTGTATCGCTAGTTCTACTCTGTATGAAAGTAAGGTACGGTACTAACTTATAATTATACTTCCGGACTCTGCAACATTTGCAAGTCCGGCCGGGAAGCTTGGGCCACGTAATTTGGGAAACGCAAGGCAAGATATCGAGATATCTTAATTTTCAATGCGGATGGATCACTTTGGTGCACGGAACAGATTAACTAATAACATGACATACGTCACGTGAACGATGTAATGTTATGTTCTGATGTGCAGGGAGATCTTTAATAGCAAATGCTGAATTGAAAGACTACTGTGTATGTACGGTATTGAGAGGGTTGTTGTGAGTAGTAGATTTAGTAATAGTAAAATATAGGAGATTTTGATTTGTGATGGATGTTGTGTGATGGAGATGGAGAGATCGAGGGATGGGGATGGGGATTGAGGGATGGGGATGGGGATTGAGGGATGGGGATGGGGATGGAATGTCGGTGCTGTGCGATAGATAGTGTTGTGTAATGGTGATGGAAATGAATGGAAATGGTAATGGGAAAGAGAAAGAGTATAGGATAGCTCGAATAGGTCAATGAACTTGATACTTTAGTAAGCATAGAGCATAGGTACTCATAAGCGAGACCAAATACGAGAACCAACTATGTATATACGAGCCACTTAAATTCTCAAATGCTTGAGTAATCTAAAGGGAAAAAAAAGAAAAAAAAAGAAAATACAATTAGCAGATAAATATTGTATATTTCCTTTTCAAATCCTTCTTTAAATTAGTAATATTTCCTATGAAAAATTCGCGATAGCGAAGCGAAATATTAACGAATATGCGATTTCTTGAGATATGGTTTCTTTAGAATTCATATAATAAATTATAGATGGAAAATTTCGAGCGATTTAGTAAGATTAATCGAAGTATAGTAGAATCCGAAGAAATTCATAAGTTCGAGATATTAGATATTTGATATATATATTATCTAGTATTCGAAAGGGATTTATAGAAGTAAGTTTATATATTTATATACGATATAATATCTAACAGATATAGAGGTATAGTAAATATAGTAAGTAATAGAATAAGAGAACTTCGTTAGCAGATAGAATATATATAAAATGAATGAAAGAAATTAGAGATAATTTAAAAGTAATATCTAAGGAGAGATATTGACAAAAAAATAAAAACTTGATTTACTTCGACGAATTTATTAATTAGAATTTGGGAAATCGATTGATGTAATTATTTTTAGATTTTGTTGAAAATTGAAATTAGAATATAATAGTATAATAAAATTTTAATTTATTTAATTTAAATATAATTAATAATTTAATCTCTTTTCTTGTTATGATATTAATTTATTTAAAGTTACATCTTGAATTGAATGTTTTTTCTTCTTCTTATAAATACATCACTAAATTAAAAATACGTTTTTAGCCCAGGTAAAAATCTATTTTTAGGGTTTTGACCAAATGATTCAAATCGGCCTCGGTATCTGTACACACCTATGGAAAATCTATTCTCCGATAGGTTCTTTTGACTGCCTCTCCTCTTGCATTGTCATCTAGTCTTCTTCTTTCTGGGTCATTTTTGATGAGTTTTTTGATTTCCTGTTTACTTCCTGCTCATGGGCTTATGGAACTCCGTTGATCGATCTAGTGACAGAACTTTTTCGTGTTCTCAGATGGCAATCTGGGAGTCCGGACACATCTCTATCATCTCACAACCTCAGATGTGTGATTTGAATATCAGATCTTGTCTCGGGCTAGGATTAGTTCTCGGTCATCTAAATCAGAATACAACTCATTCACCAAGAAGTAGATAGATTCTTTACTTCCAACATCCTAGCTTCAAGGAAAGGGTCTAAATATCTTCTCATTATTTCTTGTTATCTGCTTGCTAGCTGTTCTCTTTCCTGCTTTGTCTGGTACAGATCATACGTTCCGAGTTTCTCTATAGCTAATGTCCACAAGTATCTATCCTTCTGCTCAAAGAGGAAGTTGAAAGAGTTACCCTTAGTCATGTCCTTTCGTGAGATACACTATGCATGCGCTGTCTTCCTGTCACCTCTAGCCCATCCTGAGAAGAAACGCAAGGAAATTTCAAAACAAAGGAAAGAGAAAAAAGAGAGAAGGGAAAAGGAACACATCCGCTATGCCTATGCCGCTTGCTACTTCGCTTCAGTATCTCGCTATATCGCTCGCTAATCGTCATGGATTGAATGCTTGTCCACGCTGTGCAGAAAACGCAATACATGCCAGGGGGATATTTCCAATCAGTTACATAGCCGCCGTTCTCAGAAGTCCATTCATTCTTCAATCGCTTCAAAAAGCCCTTTCATCTCGCCCATCTCCATAATTTGCTCTTCTTCAATCATGGCGTCCTCATATGCTCTTCTTCTACCCAATCCAACTCTGTCTATTGCGAACGATGTAATCTCCTCACCCGCCATTCCGTTCTCATATCCAACATTGCATTTTGGAGAGGGCAACCCCGCCTTTCTGATTCCTGCTTGTTTGAAATCTGCCAAAGTTGGCCAGTCTGCTCGTACAGGTGACTCCTCGTCCAAGCCAGGATGTCCCCAAATGGTCTTCCGAGCGAGCACACTTGACAATTCATCACTAAATGCTTTTCCTCTAAAAGCAGGCTTAACCTTGACAAAAGTTCCTTCGCTCTTCATTCGCATAACCTCCTCTTTGTTCTTGATCCGCTCGTTCATTTCATCTTTCGCGTCGTTTTTTCGCTCCTCTCGATGCTTAACCAAGTCCTCGGTGGACTTGGGAAAGTATGGCGATGCTGTTAGGCCGAGATGAGTACCTTGAATTCGGAGACGATCAAAGTTCTTTCCAACTTCATAGGTATCGCTTCGGTGAGTAAGGGATGTTCCCGCTGCCTGTGTCATGGCGAGCGGGTTCGGTGCAGAATTAGCAGCCTGGTATGCAGCGATAACTTTATTGGTTCTTGTCGAAGTTCCACTTGCATCAGAACGAGCTGGGACTGGGTTTCCACGACGAGATAATTGAGGAGGTCCTGTGTAGGATGGGACTCCAGCTCCATCTTGTGGCATTTCTCCCTTCTTGCCGCCCATGAATTCTCCAGTGGGAACGGAATAATTCGCAGAGATAGATTTCGCTCTCAAGACTCGTCGGTTTAAAGCTTGTTGGTTCATACTCATGCCAACAACACCTCCCAATTGGTTTCCTTCTCTTGTATTCGTCGCACCAGTAGGTCTGGCCAGGATACCCGTAATAGATGGTCTAACATTTGTACCTCCGACTGCATCCCCAAAAACACTCCCATCCTGCAAAGCATGAAAACCCAATGGTGGAAAGTCATTGACAGACGGTGGTGGTTGTCGTGCCGGCGCGGTAGGAGTACCATCGTTTTGGTGGGCATGGCGAGATCTAGAACCAGGACGGTTTCGACCGCTTGATCCACTGCCTCGGTGACGCTTCAACATCGCATTGTTTCCGGCGGGTGGTTGGGGGGTTGTTGTGCCTTGGATGTTTTCATTAATCGGTTCCATCTTTTGTTCTGTTTGTCCAAATCGACGTGGATTTGAATGGTGCAAATAAAGGGTTGAGAAGTGAGGCAGGTAGGTAAATAGATTGAAGGATCTTTTTCTTGCGCCTCTGCTTCTTTGATGTCGAAACTGTATGTATGTACTTTTATCTTGCTTGCTTGCAGTAACAAACCCCAACTTTCCAATTCCCAGAATCTCAAAGCTTTGTGAAGAAACTTGAAAGAAGTGCAGAATTTGAATAAGCAGGAGAAAAAGAAGTTCGATCTTGAAGCTGTATGTATCGTATCGGACTGTATTGTATTGTATTGTATTGTAAAGAAGCAGCAGCAGGAATAGCAGCAGGTGCAGCAATAAACAAGATTAAAACTGGGAGGAATTATTCAAAGTCTATACGGAAACGAAAAAAACGTAGTTCGGATCTATATTCAAAAATTGTGGTGGTGGTTATTTGCCAATCCGAGCCCCGATGTCGCAGAGGGGGGGGAGGTTTTTGATCTTTGACTTGACTTGACTTTTTTCTCTCCCTAGCTTTTGTCTTTTGTTTATGGATGTTGGTTTTTGGTTTTTGGGGGGGAGGGGTTTTTTGGAGAGAGAAGAGTGATATAAAAGAAAGAAAGGAAGAAAGAAAGAAAGCTGTGATTTATCTGGCTGGCAGTTTCTCTGTGTTGTTGGTGACACGGGAGTGGCTTGAGTAGTGATTGGGAGTTTTTTGAGAGAAGGTTAATGGTGGTTGATAAGAAGCTTTGGATGATTGGGCTGAGGGGCGAGTTTATGAGGATAGGATGAGACGAGATGATATGGAATGGAATGGGATAGAGAGAGAAGATTGAGGGAAGTGAATGGGAATTGTGATGAGTTGATTTGTTGCATGGGGGATTTGCTATGTGTGTATTTACGGGTTTAGGAGAGAGTGTAGTGTCATGGAATGGGAGTCTTGAATTTACCAAATTAGATGGGATGTTGTGTTTGGGTTTTATGGACTTCTGGTGGATTGTATGGTGTGGTATTGTAGTATGTTCTAAAGAATATCTACGTAGACATTGTCTTTAGGAGAGTGAATAGTCTCAATGTAAACTACATCTATATTCTTTGACACTTATTACACTAACACTCATACTAACACAAATCACAGCAACAAGACTTGATTATAAATGAATTTAACATGAACTATCATAGAATCCAAATCTTCTCGATAAATTCTAGCTACTAGGTATGTAGTTACAAGACTCACACCATATATACCCCCCCCCCTCTCTCTCTCTCTCTCTCTCTCTCTCTCTCTCTTCCTCTCAGAAATATCTACCTCCGAACTCGAAACTTCACCTTTGAATTTTGACTTAACCGATCTCGGAGCTGGAGTTATTTTTTGAAAAATAAAAAAAAATAGTTTGTCTATTGGTTGTAGTTTATATGAGCTTTAGAAAGTGAACTTTGAGTTTTTATAGTGAGTGGGTGTGTATGTGGGAAAGTGATGGTGATGGTGAGTAGACAGGTAGATAGGTAGAGATTTTGGGGTATGGGATTTTGATATGGGAGAGAGGTTTATACTCATGAATTGCAATATAGGTTTTCTTGTGAAATGTCTCGTTTGTGGGATATAGAATCTGGTGTGAAGTTGTATGATGTGGTATTATTTGCAATCACAAGTCATCTCATTTCAGCTCTCTTGTATATAATGGAAGAAAAGAGATGAGATGATACGACTCATCATCTAAGATCTGATATCAGGTGTCAGAATCTTGGGATGTTCTCTGAACAAGGAAGAGTTTCTCTCTAAGGTTCTCTAGTGTTTTTTTCCTTGATGGGTATTAATATCCTATGATCACTGCTGAAAACAATGGTATCTTGCAAAGAAAGGACTTTTTTTGTAATGTTGTCCTTGTATTTCTAAAAAGTATGGATTTTTTACATAGTTGGATGATTGAAGTTGACTGAATCAGTGAGTAGAGTGGGTTTGTCAGTTTAATGGAATATTTTCTTTGCAGGGCAGGTATATATTGTATACCCAGGAATTGTTTGGAGTTATTTTTCATTGATGTGCGCAGCTGGCAGAGAGTGAGTAGTGACGTGTTAGATATTGGGAATGGTGTCTTGAGTAGATGGATTTACTTGTCCGTGTGAATTGTGGGAAAAGATCTTTGGGTGGGAGGAGGAGTTCATGTTGTAAAGATTTATAATGGGGGAAATGGAGGTGCCTCACATCTACTTTGGAGTAGTATATTATGGCGATGGAGCTTTCGTGAGGGTTTGCTTTAATAGTGCGCAGTTCTTTGAATAATAGAAGGGAATGACCTTTATCTGCATCCGTAATTACATCTGAGTTCGCATATTTATCTTGTTTTCACCCATGAGAGCAAAACCATTTCTACCACTGCCATCACCCCATTCCCATCACAAACCGCAAGTTATGGCTCACTACCATCCCCCATGCCCCATCTCTTATCTAGCCTTCGGAGCCAAAAATAGTTCCCCAGATTTTCTCACTATCATATTCTTCATAGCCGCTAGTCAACTTCACAGGTCTGATGACGTTTTTTGAACGTCTTTTCTCCCTGAATCTATGTCCTACTCCTCCGAAATTCAATATCTGGGTGATTATGATCTTGCTACCAACTGCTGATTGAAAAAGAGCGGCAGCAAGGTTTCTTGTTCGCGATATCGAAATGATCCTCAGGAAGGACACATTATAGGTTCATAATTTCCCGCCTTTTGCTGTCTTGGGATTTTGGATACGTGACAATCTAGTCAACTTGAAATGCCATCTGCATTTCAGAGCCACGTCACTTTTATAGGAGGATAATTCCGACGAAGAAAATAGTTTTGAGATGCATGGGAAACGTGAATTGGGCGTTCTATCATGCGGAGACATTTGAATCGCATTTTTGGATGAGATTGAGAATGCTAAGTCGAGGATGCACCGGGTAGAAGCTTTTTTATATGCGGAAGGGTCGGAACTTGGGAGTATCTATGGGCATCATGGATATTCGGCTGTAAGGTTCAGGGGTGTTTCCTTTTGTTTTATTGGAGTAACAAATTTGCGGCTAGAAGTGATGGATCTGGTGGGCTGAACGATATGGTCCGTAATGTAGATCGAAGGGGAGCAGAGAACATCCTGAGCTTTGGGATGAAGGATGGCCTTTCGTGCGAAGATGGGGTGAACGTATTGTTGATGTAGATATTGAATACAGAGCCGATAGGATTTTCCAAAATGGTAGGAGGGCCTTGGAACTCAACAGGTATAGATGCAAATAGCTGTCGAGAACCATATACAAGGATAGAACTTTCTGGATAACCTTGACCAAATCATCCTTGTTGAAGGGTCAGTCTAATTGTTTTTCTTCTCAAAAATAACAATAGAACAAAAGAATTATTTCAATCTAAACCACCCTTTCCTATTCTCCCCATACTGAAACTGCATATATCGATTTTGCTTCCCAAGTTCCCTTTCGTCTCTCTCCCTTTCACCACAGGCTAAAATTCGGAATCCGGATAACATCCCACCTTAGCTTCTCTCGGCCCGAAAAATAGACATTAGCTTCCTTCCGCCACATCCGAGTTCCGATCTATACGAACGGATCTAGAACATATGCTAAGTGGGACTTTGGGATACGTCATGACTGCTTTAACGCTCGAAATTCTTGTTGACTTTGTATATTGGGAATCAGATTCTCAATTCTTGGATTTATTATTTCGTATACTTAACAAGAGCTTCCTCCTTATTGATCTCCCTACTATTACCCAGTGAAACACTTTGAATATCTAGGATTTCTAAAGATTCTTGAAGAATTCGAGCGGATCAAGGGAAAAAGAAATAATGTCAAATCCTCAAGAAAAAAGAGTGCAAGCCGGCGAGGTAGAAAAAGCTCACGATATATCTACTCTGAAAAATACAGAATGTAAGAAAGTTCTATCCGCCATCCCTGCTTCCTTATGTCTTCTGCCTTCTCCCCAGCCTCCAAGTCCTCTCTCTGTTTATGCATCCCTCAATTCCTTTCCTCTGCATCCAAAACTGCCCCCATTTCATCAAAATACCGTGCATCTCAAGTTGACAACCCAAACACAGGGTCAAAACCTGAATACACCCTTCCTACCCCCTCCCTTCAATTCCTTTTCCACCTCGAATGCGACATGGAGGAATTCCACCCGATCGGTGATGGAGGACATGGTAATCGCGCTACTGTTATTTTCAAAGGTTTGTCCTTCCTCCCCTTTCCTAGTTTCATTCCCTCCTATCTCATTCCACTCTTTAACTTCCCCACGAGTTACAAAATCAAGCTCACCCCATCCAGGCGGCCGTTTCGAAGGTCCTCATCTCCGGGGCACCATTCTCCCCGGCGGCGGCGACTGGGAAACCATTCAAAACACTCCTTCCGAATCTCTCCAAACAGCTCATCTTGATACCCGCTATAATCTTCTAACTCATGATAACCACTGTATCTACCTGCGTACAACTGGCGTACGCACTGGTCCCCGAGATGTTCTAGAGGCACTTGGGGAAGAGGATAAGCATACTGCCCATGACTATAAGATGCGGTTGAACCTCACATTTGAATGTGATGATGCGGGGAAGTATGGGTGGTTGAATCGGGTTGTGGGGATTGCTAGTAGTGGGAGAAATGGAGGGAGGGTGATTTATGATGCTTTTGAGGTTTTGTAGGGGGAAAGAGAGAAGTTGAAGAGGAAATGGCTGGTATAGAGAGGCATTGTATATATAGTTGTATGATTGTAAATAATGAGTGTGATGATTGTTCGAAGAAAATCGCTCGCATAAATGGGAGGTTCTGATGTCGATCATAAAATGAAACACAACCACTAAGAATAGTCGATGATAGATCAAAAGCACGCTCGTATGAAAAATCCAAGACACTTGTTTTGCAACATAACTCTTAAAGCCAAACAATCCTCCGAATAATCTTCACACCGTATAAAACGACCTATAACCAGAGTGTTCCCATTGCTCCACTCTGCACCTCTACCCAAGAAATCCCATGACAAACCCAGCCCGCACCAAATCAGCTCATTCTAACATCTCACTCAACTCATCCCCGAAGCCGAAGTTCGAATGGAACTAGAGGACGGCTCCGACCTGGATACATTCGTTGATGTAGAAGATTCCTCGGTATCTATGGCCTCCATATGTTCCATACTTCCGGTTTCTCCTTCTTTTCCTTTCCCCTTATCTTGCCCAATGCTAGTGGGGTGGGTACCATTTGATTCATGTGCAGAAGTATTGCCATGTGTATTCGAATCCGTCATATGCGTATCGATGTTCCCCTCATTACTTCCATCACTCCCATTCGAACCTACGCTTCCCTCTCTTTCACCTCCTCCATTTCTTTCATACTCACTCCAATCACTTTCACTCCCACTCCATTGCTCACTCTCCCCATCAACCAACCTCAAAACTTCCTCCACGACCAAAAAATCTCTCTCTAGCACCTCCGCCCAATTTTGCACGTTTCCCAATTCCTTCACCTTCCTCTGTCCCTCCCTAACAACTTTCTCCAATTTATCCCCCTCTTTCCCTAGCTTTCCTATCTCCTTCTTCAAATCGTTTTCCTGTTTCGTCAATGCGCTGCTATTTTGATGGAGATTTTGCGCTCGAAGTTTCAGCGCATGTTCGTGAGGCGTGAAGATATTTTGGATTGATGCATTGAGAGCAGTGCGCGCTTCAGCTATTTGACGGGTAGTTTCTGGAGAGGGAGGCAATGGTGGAAGAGAGGAGGTAGAGGGGTTGCTTTGAGCATGGGAGTGAGTAGATGTGGAGGCTGAAGCGGATACTGAGTGGGAGCGCGAATGTGAAGATGCAGAAGAGGGACCGGGAACATCGGGAAGTGGTGGTGCGAGAGAGGAGATGGGCATTATTATGTAAAGAATTGGTATATGTGAAGGATTGTCGAGATAATGCGATTGAGGATCTGATGCCGAGAATGAAGATAGGCGGTGTATTGTAATCTTACAATACCAAACAGTAGATTAGTCTCTTTATTACTTATCAGATGTCTTATTGAACGGCAAAATTATAGAGCACAACTCATATATGCAAATAAGAGAAATAATATGGATTCATTCCTGGCAGGTTAGAGAAGGCCATTGAGAGTAGAAACATCACGAGGTTGATAAGAAATGCGGGGAGGAGCATGGGCTACATGTGGTTACACAAGGGTCTTGCAGCCAATTCAGGTCCAGGTCGATCATTTTGATTTCCCCAGCTTTTTTTAATATCGAAAAGATTGTCTTGAACGATGGATACGTTTTGGTTAGTAAAATGATTTAAAATTGGATGTGGGCAAGGAAAGATGTCGATAGAATCATTGAGAATGGGTTCACACAATTCACGATTGCACCGGCATTCAAATGCTTCATTGTACGAACAAATGGCAAAGGGGGTATTCTTATTGCTTTTGAATTCATCATAGCCTATTGTAGAGAACCATTTTTCGCATGATTCCATATCAGGAACTCCATGCCATGAATCCCAATGAAATACAACCCATCCCAAATCCCATAGAAGATGATTTACTTTCTCAATTGGCGTTGGTAAAAAGCCAACTCCTCACCCTCCAAAATGTATCCATCGACACGTCCAGATTGTCCAGGTCTGGATGAGACTGCGGCGTAAAGACGACCAGCCTCGAATTGCTTCTCCAAAGCGGGGTCAACCTTTCCTGCGGCAGCGAATCTCTCGTGGTGCTTCTTCTCAACGGACTTGCTCTTCTTGGTGTCTGGCTCCTCGACAGCTTGACCGGCCTTTTGTTGACGTCTACGTCCCAAGTTTTGACCATAGTGTGCCTCGTACCATTGTCTGAATGGCGCAGCATCGACTTGAACAATGGCGGATCTGGTGAGGGTGTTGGTTCGGACCAACTCGTTGTTGGAAGGATGGAAAGCGACAACGATCACACGGACCTTGCGGGCAATACCCTCAGAGGCCCATGAGAAGTTACCGGCTTCGAGACGGAGAGCACGGAATTTGCGGTTACCACCACGGGTACGGACGAGATGAATTCTCTTGGTTCCGATACGGGTACCTGCTTCTTGTCTTCCGGCTTCGAAAGCGCGCTTCTTCCCTGTAAAAGTCTTAGTTTTCAGGTTGGAACATATATCAATCAAGATATATGGGCTATCTACTACGCACGGTAATGGGATCGCTTGGCGCCAGAGGCGGAGCGTTTATGTCTGCTGTCACGGCTGATACCCATGATTGCTAATTCTGTGGTATGAATATTATTAGCCAAAGTTGAACAGATATGTAGATGATTTCGTTCTCAATGCAAGTATTTGAAATGTCTTATCGAGAAATCGAATGCGCAACCAGCTATGCGATGGCAAAAATGCCTGAAGAGATGTGCGAAAGAAGTATTGATATGTGATATGGTGTGCAGTCGATTGGAGAAGGGCTGACTCCATCTGAATTATCCACTGTGCAATCATTCCCAATCTTTTTGTTCTTTTTTGCTCGATAGCCCTCCGTTCCCGCATATTCTGGTTTCGATTTCGTTCTCGATATTCGATCGTAATACAAATAGCAGTTGAGACGTTGGTAAAGTACTGACCTGATGGATTCGAATTACAATCGTTGTCGTCGAAGAATTTGTCGTGAGAGTTTGAAGAATTTCGAATCGAACTTTTGCAAAAATGAAAACGGTGCGAGAAGCTAGTGTGAAGGCTAAGATTAAGCGAATTTTTTCGTCTTCCAGGATGAGTATCACGTGACTATTCCTCGAGCTCCCCGGCCCCTCCATTATTTTACGACCCAACATACTCGCCTTTTTCATTCATTGAAAATGAGAACGACACCAAGTTTGATTTTATACTCAGAACTCACGATAAGCAACAATTGATGTCATAGTTAATGGCAATTCATGTGTATTATTAACATATTAGTATCCTACTCACTTCCCGGGAAATCTTTTATTGTATGATCGAGTTTACGACATTGAACCATCTGCATTACTACATAGCATACCAGATATGTTTCTAAACTTGCTAACAGATGTTAGCTGGTATACTATCCTTTTCGTGGGTCTTTATGCACCTGCTTATCCTTCCTCCATACTCATACTAAATCGTGATGATGCAAACGAACAGGCCATCCAATGGATGGAGAGACCCACCTGTATCTTTAATCCAAGTATCTGTTCAGAACGTCTTACAAGACAATCTGAGCATCAGGAGAAGGAGATGATCACTTGTTCGGTCAATCTTGGACAATTTGCCCTGGTCTAGTCTGATGACAGATATATCGCCCGTGCTTAATTCCTACGACACATGGTTTGACGATTCCAGTTTTAGAGGTCTTGATTACTAGTTGTGCATCAAATTCATAAAATGAGATTCTCTCCCTTAGAAGGATCTGACTGCTGTGGACGTTTACCCCTCCTCGATCGATCAGAGCTACGAGGGGTAAAAACAGAAGCGTTGTGCGGATCTTACTTGCTGAAGGCGTACACATAGGGAATACCCTAATCTATACAGGTGTGGAGGTGAGGAGTAGTACGACCATTGCTTGGAGAGTATGTTAGCGGGGGTTCGAGTGGCTGTTAGAGTATGGTGCAGATATAGGGCAATGAATGCGCAAGAGAAGATGCTGGTGAGTGTCTGAACAGGCAATGCTTTGTTCGAGCCGTTGAACAGCGGTTGTCTTGCTTGAGTGTGAGGATGGAAAAGACGAAAGTGTAAAGGAGATGAATGATGAGTCTGCAATTGACTTTATCCTTAGCACCATCTAAGGTTCAGTTGACTTTTTTGTCTTAAGAAATGTACGAAAAGATAGCATACAAAGGTGCTTCAATTACTTTTTTCAACACTCGATGGATGTATTGAAAATACAATACTAGGTTGTCCCATATCAATTCAATGCGATATACCGAGAATGGAATTGAGTTGCCTTTCACTCCCTTCAACCTCACTCCCGGCTTCACATTTCACTATCATCATAATCGCCGTGCTAGTCTCTGAATTACATAGAGTTCGACTTTCATTGCTTATTTCCAGATATTTTGTTGAGTTGTATCAGACTTGTTGTGTTACTACGGTATCGAGTTATTCTAATACACCCCCCTGTCTACGACAAGAGCCCCCATTGGTATCACAATGAGGGGTAAAATGGATGTAACCTCCCATCACACTTTCGCGCTCGAAAGTTAATTGACAACACTTTCATTCCATACCAAGTCTCCATAGTCACTCAATTTCAAGATGGCCGAAGTCTACAAGTTGCCTGGTCATAGAGTCGACGTCAAGCTCTGTGTCTTCGATCATGAGATTCATTGCCATTCATTGATGCTGAAGCTTGGTTCGGCTTATTTCAGAAAATTCCTCGACTCAGCAGACAAAACCCCAGCTCCTGCGAATGCAACTTTCAGTTACGAATATGTTACCATTCAAGATACCCCTGAAGATGTTCCAGGCCTTGAAGTCGCATCCAAGGTTAGTTCTCTTGATCGCTACGAGTTGAACAAATTCTCGAATTCTATATCTCACATTTGACTTAAGGCTAATGGAACCACTGCCAGGTTGAGGGCAGAGGTGATAAGCCTGTCGACACTGGATCCGATAATTGGTACATTGCTGTTAAACATATGATTGATTGTATGTACGGGAAATCCTTCACACTCGCCAGTTTCGACGATATCAACTTTTTGGCCAAGGTTGCAGATTTTTATGGTGCGCTGCCAGTCGTTTCAAGGACATTGGATACAGTGTTTTTCCGAAGCCCGAACTTCATCGAGCGAATACCCGAGAATGCTGGTTCTCTTTTGAAGATTTCCTGCCAACTCAGAAATCAAACTCTGTACAAGGAATGCATGATTCATGTTGCTGGTCGGTGGAAAAGCAACCCTTGCATACCAGAAGATGATATGGATCTTCGTATCCGAGTTCTCATTGCATATGGAAGCGTTTGCCAAAAGCTTGTCACAGCAAATCAAAATTTGATCAGATTGGTTGCAGATGAGTATATGGATAAAAAGGTCCATGAAGAGCTACGTTCTATGGCGCTCAACTATAGCTGGTCGCTAGCCCTTTACTATCGACAATTCTACGATAAACACTACAGTCAGGATATCGATCAGGTTCTGACTAAAATATTGTCTAGTAATCTAATCCTTGATCCTTCTAAGCTTGGAGCAGGCCAAGGAAAGTTCCAAAATTATTTCCTTTGCGCGGAAATCACAGACAAGGAACTCCCATGGGATAGGGAGGAAGAAGACTGGTAGAGCTTCGGATTCCAGTTGTCGCAATCGGCTGTCAAGCTTATCACTTTCATGGTTCCTGGATTTCAGTGTCAGATGAGAATTTCCAAAGCTCGGTATGGCTTGTACCACGATATTTCAATTGGTAAGTCGATTGCACCTGTTCCCTCAATCTCAACATCTAATCTTTGAAAGCCAAGATGCCTGTACCCTCAACTGATACACGCTAGTGTCTTTCTCCAACATTTTTATGCAGTAGTTCACGAATGCAGGCTAGTTACTCACATGTTGCAACGACAGGATGGAAGTGGTATCTAGGCTGATACTTTCTCATGAGATTTTTGCGAATGTAGTTTGGGGTTCTCGACAGACAATGTCTTACAATTGCAAAACAATTTCAATGATGTTACACGGCTCAAGACGGCTTCTGCTAGTGGTAGAGTGAATTAATCTCCAAGCATTATGAATTATATGTGCTTTGACTGGTATATCCGATAGAAGAAAGTATGCACTTCATTTTTGTACCGTGTTACAAGACCCTCAAACTCAACAACTTCATGATTCTACACCATATGATCGTTATCGACCCTCAAAAAGGAGATTTGACAAAGGCCAAAGTTATATCGTCCTACCAATAGACTTCACACATATACCAATTTCATCATAATACTAGTATCATAAATTATCAAGATAGCAGGTCCATCCATTGACCCTGTGAACAAAACGATACAAAATGTCTTAGGGCTCCAAATATCTATCTTTCCTCTACTTCCCGAGCCCTTTCAATCACACATCATACATTCCCCGGAGGTTCCATTTAAACCGAAAGTGGAAATTCAGATGATTGGATTTCAGATGGAGAAATGGCAAGCAAGAATTCGCCAAAATGTCGAGGGGGATGAAGTTGAGAGTTGCTGGGACGAGACTGCAGAAAATTTGGGGCGAGGCTATTGGGGGAATGGCAGAGGATTCAATGGCGCTTAAGGGGATGTATGGGACTATTGATGATATGACTGGGTTTCCAACGGGGGTTCGCGGGAAAGGAAATGGGTTTCTAGTTGATAGATTCGTGTAGAACTAGCTATTAACTTGCTTGCCTTTGAATCACAAGCATGAGCTATCCTTCGAATGAATGTACAGCATTTAACAGAACATACACGAAAAAATAACCATCGTAAGATCTCAGTCACCCCGAATTTTACAATATACACAGTCGTCCAAGACTCTGAACAATTCTTACTATGTATTGACTCATGTATAGCAATAGTCAGACCAATTAATAAAAAAGTAGCAAGAAATCAGAAATAGCACCAGCGGCGAATAATCGCGATAGCGATATCTAATTTCCTATTCCCCATAACAAAAAAATACGGAAGCACTCCCAGACTCTACGATTTCATCTGCTTATCTGGGCAAGTAACACAGGGCTTAGCCTCAAGAATAACCGAGGTGTAGCGCCTATTTCTGTACGACGTATTGATGACTTCTGTCTCATATTACACGAGATGGATGTAAAAGGCTGTGTAACTAATACGAGAAACCCACCGACCGCCTGAATATATTCTCAAGCAATGAGATATTGGTTCCTTCTGCGCTGTTTGCCCAAAACGTAATTGTATGAGCATTTTTTACGAATAGCAGCGCGGAGATAAGAGATATCTTCCGAGACTTGCTGCGACGTCGGGTGCACTTACCATTGTTGATTGGCAAATGCATAGCCCAAGTTGCCTGATAATGTCCTACCTGCTGAATATCAAGTGAATGAATTGGCCAGAGTACGAAGATGTAGGATGGTCGTCGGATCTCGATTGCCACACAACTGCCCCTGGAAAAGAAATGAGAAATGTAAGAGTCTAGAATCAGGCGCAAGGTTCTCCGCATTTCGAAATTGCTGACCTAGAAGTATAATCATAAATGCGCTCGACGCAAAATTGAAGGTCAGATTGTACCTTGGCGGGTAGCATATACTGTTGCCTGAGGGGCATGCGAACATGTTGAACAAATTCCATACTACCCTAGCCTAGAGCACTGAAACCTTAGAAATGAGATGTGTGCATAACACGGTTTACGGCAAAGATCGAGATTCCAAATGCATGTGCAGCTTTTGCTACTGTGCTAGCCGTTTTGTAGGATTACATGCATGCAGCTCAAGAATATTTCGAATCTAAGCAGCAGTTACGAGAGCTTTGCCATCGGGTCCTTCTTATCAAGACTTGCAACACTTGGAAACAGACAATACAATCTGTGAATAATACCGTGGATTATGTTTGGATGACGGCCGAAGCGTTCTCTTCATCCTTGCTGCTTGTCGATATGTTATGAAGTTACATTTGATGGGAGTGTGTGTGGTTCCATCAGGTATATTACACAACTCCTAGTGATTGAACGACGTGACCTTAGCGTATGTTTGCACACTTCTCAAGCCTAAAGACCAACATTCTATGGTAGGAAATTATCACCACATCGAATCATAAGAGCTGTTGGCGAGCAGGCCAATTCTCGGCCAACTGCAAAGTATTTTTAGATCGGTCCCGTGTCGAATCAAGGTTCATGTCCGTGACTGTCTCCTGTAGCATGTTCAACCAAACTATCGGTATCAGCGTAATCCTGACAATCATACTGTGTCATCCAATTTCATTTCGCAGCATGCCATCAACATCGAAATTTCATGTGCATCGATCACAAGATTCCAATTTGAAGATCGATGCAGCTGCTGCCTGTTGTCAGTCAGACATGGCCCCTTTTGAATGTGTACATAACGAATGAGATAACATGCAAGGGGTAAGGGGGTGAAGGAGGGGAAGAGCGGTCAATACTACCCTAGAGAAAATTCAAAAGAAGGATTCAAAAATCAAAAGCAGACGATTAAGAACTAGATGGAAGAGCACAAGGTTTCTCATCCAATTCGGAGACAAAAATGGGCGCCATTACATACACAAGAAATGATGTTTCGAGAGGGTAGTTACAAAGAGAGCACTAGCTTGTAGAAACCGTTATTTTGCTAGGAGTACCTTGAGGTGATAATTTCAAACCCAGATACATCTTCAACCGGATTCCCAGACCAATTTACCCGGAAGCGCTGAAGAAGTGGGGGCCGATTTGGCAACGTGGCCAAGGCGGGAACGAGTACGAAAATCGAAATAGTTGGACCTCTTTAACTAAAAACTCGGTACTCAATAGGTGAACCAGACTACTGGGTCCGCATTCGTGGTCTGATAGTTCCAAACTTGGACACGGAGAGCGAGGATCCACTTTATAAATACATCTGACAATTTATCCAGCAGCAATAAAGCTACCACATGAAACGATATGTTGAAAGAGGCCCTCCAAAAGGTCCACTGCTGACAATCACTTCAAAAAGCTCCACACGCAATGGAACGTGATTTTCGAGTCATCGGTGATGCCACTCGGATGTAAGGATCAGCTGCGGCGTGAACTTTCAACACACCTGCATTCCACATCCAAATGCAGCTATCGGCATGCCGATAGATTCGGGCTCGGATGTCAGCAATGTTACTGTTATTCCTAGTGGTACAGGATTTTCAAGTGTTGGTTTTTAGTAATCCCTTCAAATTTTGCTCGATTTATTCGAGGTCCTGAATTAGGGGCGGCTGGCATGATTTGACTCAGAGGATGATTGGCTGTGTTGCAATTTTTGTGTTCGTGCTACGGACTCTCATCACACCCGTTTAAATGCGTGTCGATATGATTTACTGTGGAGCTGGTCATCAACCTATCTCAGTCTGCGCGTAAGAGGCTTATGCAAACTGGTATGCCAATAAGCGAGCATCCCAATGTGAGAATGACTGCATTTGTGCTACCAATGCTAGAATTGCAGATCAGCGATTGTAAATTAAAAGAGTTAGGTTGATTTTCCAGAATTTTGGAAGGCAGGGAGATTTCTCGGTCCCGAAATAACTTATCTTTTCTGGCAACAATTTGTCATACCGAAGAGTCGGTTCATGAAGCGTCCATCTCGTGTGTGTTGGGATCTGCTATATTCAGATCTTTGTTTTCCCCCCTTGAATAGCACAAAATTTGTCGCGTCAGGCGGCAGTGTAGGCAAGTAAATCCTACAAAATGGCATACGCACACTGAAGAAAGACCACTCGTAAGCTGGCGTATCAAAATTGTTATAGGTGGGAGTTATGGCCCATGTCGATAACACCAAGGGGTGATTCTAAATTTGTGTGGAAGCTTTGGCGTCTGACTGTGCCAAGCATAAGTTTCTCTAACCCGCAAAGTTGTATGCAGAAGCGATCTTGGTCCGTGGTGGATGCCCATACCAAGCTTTAGCGACTGCTACCGACAGATCTGAGACGGGTAAGGCTAAATACCGTTTTCTTCTATAAAATTCCAACAGCTAATAACAAGTAGGCGACCGAAGCGACGCCGATAATCTTGAACATGCGGATTATATTGTTTACTGTAACTCTCCCCTCCATTTAATCCGCGAATACAATGTTTATATGTACCCCTTGCAGTATACTAAAATGAAACTTTGACGGCTTTTAGGTGGCTGATAAGATAAAAGCAGTAATGTTGGTTTGTTCTATGTGTCATGCTGACAACACCTTCCCCTTCAATCAGGAAATCGATTAAGCTATCGGAAATTGATTGACTTTACATGTAATACAGATGGGACTAATGGCAACGATTGAAAGCGAAATTACAGCTTCCCGGAGATGATTGTAAATATTTTTTTGGCATTAACATTAGTGATAGATCTGAGTAAAGACAACAGAACCATCTGATAGAAGATAATGATTAGATATTATGGCGACAAAATCGAAGGTATAACCTGGTCTAGACTCGAGCAAAAGAGCTCATCCGCTGTTTCTCCATATTGAAGTATGTCTGTCACTATCCGGTAGCCCTCAGGTAACCTCTCGTCATTCTGCCTACAAGTAACCCGAATTTCTTTATTCCATCGATCGACCTCGAAAGACTCTCCATAGTATCTTGCATTTTCACGGATCGTTCCAGATTCATCCATCCCTGGTTGTTCGAGTGCCATCTTCCATACCGCGATTCTTGCAATCACACGGCTATCCCATGCACCCTCTCGACGATGAGAAGAAAGTAGCAGCTTCAATGCTTCACCGCGTAATGCCGGCGAATTGCGGCAGTTTAATGCGACTTCGAATAATGGTATCGTGGTGCGAATATCAAAATTAAAGGATGATTTGCCTGTGAATTTAGTGAGCATATCATAAAATATCACCAAGAAAGATAAAATGTACTTCGCAACAAATGTTTTTCATAGTTAATGATATCTTGCGTGTAAGAGACGATATACTGAAACGGCTCCAGGAGCTCGTCCGTGACCGATTGCGGTTCGTTGAGACTTGTGGCAAGCTTGATAATACTGATCAATATTCGCATTCTCAATGATTCTGGTCTTAGCACTGGATGTCCAGTAACATCAGTTTTGCAATCGGACATCCATATAGACCGACGAAAGACAGTGTCCCATTGTCTCAATTGCGCTACATAATAGTCTCTCAGCTTGATGGCCGAGCGAGGAATATTTCTTCTCGGCGTGAATCTATATTTGAACATCTCTATATAGAGGTTGTTGGCTCTTGTGACAAGTATACTTCGAGTTTTGACTGCTTCCTCTATACCAGAGAAGAATTCCGGGATATAAATCTGCTCTTTTCCAAATATAGCTTGGCGATAAGAGAACTCCGATTCGAAGCCCATAGTGGAGTAGTTGACACTATCGAGACTCATCAAGATACTAACGAATCTACAGTCCAGGAGTTTTGAGGTCTCTTTTGTAAGCAATGATCGGGCACATTGCATATGAGAAGTTGCTAAATCTCGATTCCCATAGAAGCAATCAAAGTGGGCTAGTATCGTAGCGGCAATAAACAGTGTTCTTGAACGTTCAGGTGTACTTTTTGTATCTGCTATGAAGTCTCTCGTTGACTGCAATGCTTTGCCGTATTGTTTAAGAGCGAATTGTTCATGGTCTTGAATTTGTTGTGAGCTGGTAGTGTCCATCTGAAAGCTCCGCACAAGAGCAGAAATAGCGACAATTCCATGACGAATACATGGCGTGAAAAAGCTTTCCTGGAGAACGACTTCGGTCCAAAAGAATGACTCGATCGATCTGGCTGTACGACGCGTTGTGTCCGGGATCATGCAATATGGATCGGCAGAAGTCGCAGATGTAAAGTCTTGAAAGTATAGCCATTCTTGCTCATTAAGATTTAGGTAAGAGGGCTCATGATTTGGTAGAGATGGTGGTGCCGGGCGTATAGGAACTAAGCTTTGTCGAACAGTTTCTTTCTTTTTTGTTGATATTGGTGCTTGAGTAGTATAACCACGGCATCGAATCCCGGAATTTGAACATCGAAAACAAGCCGGTTTTCCTTCATCACATTTCAGTCTTCGAAATCTAAGTATATCAAATCAAAATTGTGCTCAGAATATCGTAAAGTGATGATAAAACCTACTTGCAAGTCACGCAACCCGATCTGACTTTGGGCCTAGAAGCTCTTTTTCTAATATAATCTGACATTTCGGACATTATTGATTGGTGACGTTGAATAAACAATTCATGAAACTACAAACTTTGAGAAATATGCGAGGACTGACAGGTAATATTTAAAGTTCTATGTCAATGTACCGAAGACTTCCCCTCGAATCCACCTTGAAAATGGCTGAGGTTTGCGGCTAAGGTTGCAAGGGTTGGCCGTTGACAGGGCTGGACATGGTAGGTAATAGGCAATCTTCTGGGGTCGTAACGAAAGGGCTTGCAGGATACATAATCATGCCAGGGTCATTAGCGGCGTAATACTGCATATCAGACAACAGTGAGATTAATATCAAGGTGAGGGACTAATCGGATATTTGACGAATGAGAAGACCGGCTGAATTTGCTGCATTCAAGAAGCTCTCGTCTCATCTATCTACAAACTTCTTGATTGCTCATATGGTAGTGGTTGCACTTGCATGGTTTTTTCTAAAGAAAAATACAATTGTAGTACTAGATGATTGAAAAACAATATGGACAGCGTTTACCTACAAAGACAATCCCCAAGGCATGTAGCCAACAATTCTAAGAAATAAATGTTTAAACTTCCCAACATCTTTGCCCCATGAGATATCCATGCGAATCGCAGTCTTCTAAAAGCCAACGAGAATTTGAAGGATTGTTGTAACACGCTCAAAAGCTTGCTAGACTTTGCACCAACTGGTGTACATTCTGCATCTGAACTATGCCGGTATGTGAGGCATAGGTTATCCGACCGATTTCAAATCGGCGTTGAAACCAAACTTTGACATCAAACTCTTTGCTGGGCATCAGACAATGATTTGACAGCAAGGCAAATAAGAAACAATAAGAAATAACTAGCACAGCTATGTCTATAAAAAGGGTACCCAATAAGATGCAGAGGATTCGATGATATGAGAGACTTCGTGACATTGTAATATCTGACTCTGCTTTGAAAGACACAGCCGCCTAAAGCATCTAGAACTAAGAATATCTTGAGCATTTGGGCACTTTGCCGTGTAATAGGATAATCTTTTTGGTTCTAGAAACAGAAACCAACAGTTGGAGGTCTACGAGTAAGCAATGCAATGCAATCTCGTTTGGCCAGACACGTGCCGGACTAGCTAGAGCGGGGGTTGATTGGTCCACCAGGTCCACCAGGTCACCTGTCCACCAGTCCCGAACAATTGATTACCTAATCCGAGCCAATTTTTTTCTTTGTCAATTTGTGATCCCCGCCGTCATTATCTACAACCTTATGACCCCTCTGAGAAAAATAAATCTCACACGTTAAAAAATCAAACCGGCGACTTTGCGCTTCCGAGATCATTGCAGAAGAAAAGAAAATATGGCCGAGAATATTTACGACGAAATCGAGATCGAGGATATGACTTATGATCCAGTCCTACAAATTTATCATTATCCATGTCCATGTGGCGATCGATTTGAAATCGGTATTGCTGATTTGAGAGATGGCGAAGACATTGGTGTCTGTCCAAGTTGTAGTTTGATGATCAAAGTTATTTTCGAGGTGGTAAGTTTCACTCTTTCTGACGGGAAAATTGCTCGAAGCCAATATGATGGCATACCATTACGGTTTCTCTTATGCGAAAGATGTTCTTGAACCAGATGCTAATCCTGCTGTGATGTAGGATGATTTACCAAAGCCGGAAGGAGATCAAGGTGGCCCTCAAGTGACGATTGCGACATGAGTACGTTGATGATCCGAAGCTATATACATATCATGCATCGACCCGAGAATGAAGGTTTTGCTGGAAGATAGGATAATTGAGGGTCATATGAAAGTGAGGACGGAAATTTCCAAAACATAATTCGCGCCCAACGATGAACGTCCAATCCAGCGCCATTCTGCGAAGAAACATTCCGCAAGAATAGAACCAGATTGGATCAAGCCGAGGTCACAGGGGACAAGCAATAAAGAGAATTAGATCTCTTGGAGAAGCTATATTGTGTCTATGATGAGCAGGTAGTCAGAAATTCAGACTGTGTCCATTATCATTAGGTAATGCCCAAATTAAAAAGCTACCTCAATGTCTCATCGGTTCCCTATATTCATGAATCTCAAGTCGTGAAAATGCCACTGCCAGAAAACGCCGATTGATGTTCGATTTATAGCCCACCATTTGCAAAAACAAAAAAATCGCTCTCGAGATCCGTCCGTAGATTTATCACGAATGTGTAAGGTGATCACTCATTCCCTTGTATATCAGGAGTGTATGAACTTGATAAGTCGACACCGACCTCATTCAACAGTAGTTCGTTCAAAGGCGACCCATCTCTCAAATATATCCACTCCCCTGATCCTGTGCCTTCTTTTGAGTCTTGACCCTCACTCGTAATCACAAAATCGTAGCGCTTTGGCCCGGATGTGGGAGAAGAAAGCCAAATTTGTTTATTTGGTGGCTGCTTGTTGATGACATAGGTGCCGATGGGTGGAAATGAGAGTGTAAGAACCCCAGCCTATATAAAGATCTCAGTCAATTCTAGGAAAGCACCTCATAGAAGGCGCGTGAACCTGGAGAAGAAACGTACGCTATATTCGACATCGACATCTTCCCTCTCCTCTTGCAACTCCTCTAACTTCTCAACCATCATGTCCATGTACTTATCCGATAACTCATTGTATTCTTCTTGACTGAGCTCAGCAGCTTGTTTTGGTTCTGGATTGCTTTCCAGTATCTTAGGTTTAGGATTCTCGGATTCCGGGGACAATCCTTTGCCAACTTTGTTCGAAATTGTGATAGGGCGGAAGGTTTGATAAGCAACACTTGGTCGAATGGTTGGAAATGTTCGACCTCGCGCAAGCAAATTTCGAGAGGTGCCACATTGGCGGGGCGCACTGCGAAGAATCTTTGCGAGGAATGTGCGAGTCATTGTTTCTTTTGAACGAAGTGCTTTGTAGGATAGAAGAGGAGGATTGATGGGATGGGTTCTGGGTGGATGGATGAATTGATCGTTCCAATTCTACTTCGTAGGGTTGATAAACAGATTGGTCGCACAGAGCTCAATTGAATTAAGCTTTGAGCTAGCTACCCCACGTTCTTTCGCTTCATTGGCATATCGGGATTTCCACACCACGATCCTATCATCTGCATCGTGTTCAGCCTTCTTTTGTCGGCCTTTAACATAATTCTTTGCAAACAACAAACTCATCTGGTTCTCCATATACTTGCACTCAAAGATGATCAACGCAGTTCTTGTCTTCAATAATGCTGGGCAACCACGGCTTACAAAATTCTACACACAACTAGTGAGTACTAGCCACTTACCATCCTCCAAATAATCTTTACTAACAGCCCAAACAGGAAACATCAGTTCAACAGCGACTTATTTCAGAAATATTCACACTCGTATCTAATCGTCCTGCGGGTTCATGCAATTTCCTTCCGCTTCCGCCTCTTCTCGCCTCCTCCTCCACATCCAAAACAGATTCATCTCCTCACAACGATATCCCTTCCCTCGTCACATATCGGCATTATGCGACACTATACTTCATCATTATTTCAACATCCACCGAATCACCACTTGCTCTTATCGATCTGATACAAGTATATGTGGAGGCACTCGATCGTTTATTTGAGAATGTATGCGAACTAGATTTGATCTTCAATTTTGAGACGCTGCATGCAACTTTGAGCGAGATGATCGTGGGCGGTGTTGTTATTGAGACACAGTTAGAGAGAGTTGTGGAAGGGGTGAAGGCACAGGGAAAGGTAGCAAAGAGACCCTTGAATGAAGGAAGGGGCGGAGCATTAGGAGGCATGGGAATGGGGGGAAATTTTGCCTGGGCTACTCGATGAAAGCTAGCGACTGCTTTGGTATACTCAAGACCAACTACAATAAGAGAACGCCCATCATTAAGCAAGACCACAAGGCTGCAGAAATACTTGACCGAAGGCTGGCATCGAGGAACATGCCGGAGAGTATTTGTAGAGGGCATTTCAACACTCTCAACACCAAAGTCGGTTCAGCTGCTTGAAATAACATAAGTCTCACATCTACTAGTTATGAGCACAAAAGAGCCCCAAATGTTGTCAGCACATCGCTCTTCTTGGTTACATATACATCACCGCCAAACTGTGCTCTCAACATCTAACGATGATTCAAGGTTACAGAGAGTGTCCTCGAGTGAACGAGATCTATGAAGGATTGAAGAGAAAGCAAAGATATCTTGAGCAAGATTTCTGGTCCATGCATCATGTACACTTCCAACCCATTGGTATTTAACGCCTCCACGCCGAGAATATACTACTACAAATTATACAATATCGCGACGTTCTAGCATAGCTTCGTAAACATGACCTGTGCTTCAGGTGCTATTCTTTGCTACAGGTGATACATCTTCGGCTTGATCTACACGTTTGTGAACTTGATCCTTTGACCACAGTGATCCTGTAAGTCCAAAAAACCATTCCCGGACCTACGATTCGTCAATATTTCATGTCTTTATTAAATGCATAGGTATTCATACTCCTTGAAATGGTGCCCCCTCGTGAACCAAGTTGTCTTTATTCCAATCCGCGAAGAGTACTCCGTAAACTATCACAACTGTTTCCCATATATCAGCATTCTGTAATCTGATGTACCCTCGCATAATCTACCCACATAGAATAGAACTCAATTGAGCGACTTTAACAGCTTTTGTCCATTTCGGTCTCGCCCACTTGAGCTTCGTTCTCCTTTTGTATCTTCGTTCAAGTCGGAATTGATGCTTTTGTGACAACTTCGAGAAATCGGGAGGCCACAGTCTTTTCGCCTTATACGGATTTGCATTCGGATCGTATGGTAGCTCTAACCGGGTTTGCTGGGCAGCACGTCTAACAAGTGTGCGAAACATTCTTGTTGATGTTATAACTATAAAATCGTTTCAAGCTTCACTTGAAGCTGGACGAGACTGTAACTATTTTGGCCTTAGGCATCTATACATAAACATCCCACCAGCCCGCAATTTCTAAGTTGGTGACCCGAATTTCAGTGCGGTCTCTCTGACTCAGTGAAACTTCTGAAACAACAGCATATACTCTGCAGAGAGGATATTGAAAGGCCTAGAATTTCAATATCGCAATCATGGCAGCTGTTGAAGCCACTGCGAAGGCTTTGGAGAATGCCACAATCTCCAAAACTAAGGAGTTAAAAGGCGTAAGTACCCCTCAATTGGCTGAATCACAATAGTTACTAACCACGAAATCTTTTAGACTGAGAAGAGAGACAAACTTATTGCAATCGAGAGAAAGTACCAAGCACAATGGGAAAAGGATGGTGTATTTCAACCGGATGCTCCTTCAACTTCCGATGTGCCCCTCCACTCTGTCTCCGCCGCAGAGTTGCGCGAACAGCACCCTAAATTCTTTGGTACCATGGCATATCCTTACATGAACGGCACTCTTCATGCTGGTCACAGTTTCACCGTCAGTAAGATCGAATTTACTGCAGGTTTCGCACGTATGCAAGGAAAGAGAACTCTGTTTCCTATGGGTTTCCATTTGACAGGTTTACCTATCAAAGCAGCCGCCGACAAGCTTGTGAAGGAGATCAAGCTTTTCGGAAAGAATTTTGAAAACTACAAGGAAGAAGAGGTCTCGGAAGAGAAGACAAACACCCCTACACCAACCACCCATCACGAAGACGTCACTAAATTCACCGCGAAAAAAGGAAAGGCTGCCGCAAAAGTTGTCAAGATGAAGTACCAATTCCAGATCATGGGGGCATTAGGCATTCCATTGGAAGACATCCATCAATTCGCAGACCCACATTACTGGGGTGCCTACTTCTCTCCTCTGTGTAAACGAGACCTTACGAATTTTGGAGCTCGTATTGATTGGAGGAGATCGTTTGTTACAACTGACGCCAACCCATACTATGATGCTTTCGTCCGATGGCAGATGAACCGCCTCAAGGAGCTTAAGAAAATTAAGTTCGGAAAGAGATACACAATTTACTCGCCAAAGGACGGACAACCATGCATGGACCATGATCGAAGTGACGGAGAGGGTGTTGGCCCACAAGATTACTTAGCCATGAAGTTAAAGGTCTTGGAATGGTCGTCAGAAGCCGAAGCTGCTATTAAGGATAAAGTCCCAGCGGATGCGGATATTTTCTTCGTACCCGCTACTCTTAGACCAGAGACGATGTATGGTCAAAATTGTTGTTTTGTCGGACCTAAGATTACGTATGGTGTTTTCAAAGTTTCAGAAAAGGAATACTTCGTAATTACCGATCGCGCGGCAAAAAACATGTCATATCAAGATATTTTCTCTGAAAATGGTAAAGTCGACAAGGTTGCAGAGATTGTTGGTTCAGCATGTGTTGGAACCTTAGTCAAAGCTCCTCTCTCTGTACACAAGGATGGTATCAGGATACTTCCTATGGAGTCGGTCCTTCCTACCAAAGGTACTGGAGTTGTCACCTGTGTACCATCTGACAGTCCAGATGATTATGCGACTATCATGGATCTCGCGAAGAAGGCGGAGTATTATGGTATCAAAAAAGAATGGGCCGAATTGGAAATTATTTCTGTCATCAACACGCCTTCATTTGGAGATATGTGCGCTCCGTTCTTGGTGAAGAAGCTCAAGATTGCTTCACCAAAGGACAAGACAAAATTGGAAGAGGCAAAAGAGCTTGCTTACAAGGAGGGTTACTATCAAGGTACCATGACATTCGGAGAGTTCAAGGGAGAGAAGGTCGAAGTTGCCAAACCTAAGGTCAGAAAGCAAATTATCGAGGCTGGTGAGGGCTTTGCATACTCAGAACCCGAGCGAAAGGTCACCAGTCGATCTGGAGATGATTGCTGTGTTGCATTAATGGATCAATGGTACCTTGACTATGGGGAGGACTCCTGGAGAAAGGAGGCCCTCGCACATGTTGATTCTGGTTTAAACTCTTACTCGCAAGAGACCAAAAATGGATTTGAAGGTGTCCTCAACTGGCTCAATCAATGGGCCTGTGCCAGAACTTATGGTCTAGGATCGAAACTTCCCTGGGATCCTCATTTCTTGGTTGAAAGTTTGAGTGACAGTACCATTTATATGGCATACTACACCATTGCTCACTATCTTCACAACGATATTTTCGGTAAGACTCAAGGTCTTGCTGGAATAAAAGCAGAACAGATGACAGACGAGATTTGGGATTATGTCTTTGCTCGTCGGGATATCAGTGATGAAATCTTGAACCAGAGCAAGATTCCAAAGGAGACTCTCGAGTCTATGAGGAGAGAATTCGAGTACTGGTATCCACTTGACCTTAGAGTATCAGGAAAGGATCTTATTCCTAACCATCTCACTTTCTTCCTTTACATTCATATTGCCATATTCCCTCCAGAGTACTGGCCAAAGGGTGTCCGTGCCAATGGCCACTTGCTCTTGAATGGAGAGAAGATGAGTAAATCTACTGGTAACTTCATGACATTATTTGACATGATCAACAAATATGGTGCAGATGCCAGTCGTATCGCGTTGGCTGATGCAGGAGATGGAGTTGCAGATGCCAATTTCGAGGAAGACGTTGCTGATAACAATGTTCTCCGTCTCTACACCCTTCGAGAATGGTGCGAAGACATGGTCAAGGATCAAAATAACCTTCGTACTGGAGAGAAGAACGATTTTCTTGATGCGCTCTTCGAGAACGAAATGAATGCTATTGTTCACGAATGTCGTCAACATTACGAAGCAACAGACTACAAACTTGCCCTCAAATTGGCTCTTTATGACTTCACAGGCGCTCGTGACTTTTATCGTGAAGCAAGCATCGCTGCCGGAATCAAGATGCATAAAGATCTGATCTTCCAATATATCGAGCTTCAAGCTCTCCTTCTAGCTGTTATTGCGCCTCATTGGTCTGAATATATCTGGCTTGAGGTCCTCCACAAACCCACTACTATTCAAAAGGCCCTTTACCCCGACGTTCCAGCCCCAATTCCAGCTCTCAGTGCTGCTCGTGATTACGTCCGATCTACATCCTCGAATATCACTTCTG